CCATGACCTCAGCGGTAGGGGGTCAGTTCGGTTTAACCAACCGTACGATAGTCTCCGCAAACAAATTGGGTACCCGTCGTTCCTGTTTAAGCGGGTAGGCGACAACCCTAGTCAACAGTTGGTCGGATCTAACAGTCTGGCTGATGGCGTGGACACACCGGATCCCATCCGAACTCCGAAGTTAAGCACGCGGGGCCCCGTGTAAAAGCGGGGTGGGTACTCCCTCTTTTTCACATTCTTTGAAAAAAAAAATTATCCGAAAGGGCGCCTTTACAGTCTGTTCGGAATTTGATAGTGGGATGAGGAAAGTACTCCCCAATCATTATTTTTTATTCGCCCATTAGTGTGTGTCCCTCTAGTGCTGTCGATATCGAGGCAGCAGGCAGCCTTTGCACCACACAGCGCAACCTGGCGGCGGCCGGGCTAAGCAGATAGAGCACATAGAGAGCTCTTCTTGGGCTTAAGGCCGCAGTTTGCTTTGCTAAGGGGCGCGGCCACGGGCACTTGACAGTGATTGTCTCATTTAAACTGCCATTGTTTTCGGTAAGTAGTTTGTGACATGGACGTTGCAGCTTTGCTGATCGGAAGCAATAGTGCTTTTGTTCTTCACGCGTCTCTATTTTTAAAAGAGTGAATAAATGGTTGTGCCAAGAATGCAAAAGCCAAAAACGTCCACTTACTACTCCATCCCTGTAACGAAGGCGGGCTTCGCCCTCATGATCGGTCGGCAGTAGAGATACGATTGAACACAAGGGATCACTCACGAGAGGAGTCAAACGGCAAAGGGTATCAGAGCCTTTTCAATGGGGAATCAATGGAGCCACCTGCGGAGCCCGCTCGGCGCGGCGCGTCCCGCGTCACCTCTGGAGGGGACCCCAACCCCAACGCGGGGGTTCCTCTCCTTCGGCGCGGCCGGGCTTACCTGAGGCCCGCACTCAGCCTCACCCTCCCAATTAGGCCGCGCGCGCGCCGGGGCCGCCGATCTGATATAAAATAAGGGCGCGGCAAAGCGAGCTGCCGCGGCGCGGTGGGGGGTCTGTCGATCTGCGTAATATATATCGCGGTGCGCGTTATTCGGGCAACGTAGTGCGCATAACGTAGTGTACGGCAGCCACCTGGCAGCCACTAGATCAAAATGAGCTTTTACTCGTCTCCCGTCTACATCTGGGTCCCATCGCTGCAAGAAGATGAACGCGCGTAACACTTTTTTGCTAGACCTGCCGCACTCCCCAAGGGAGACTGATAGAGTGTGTTTGTGTCCCCCCCCCCCCCTGCTTAGGGCGGGGGACGGGGCCCGGCGGGGGGCGGGGGCAGGTGGTTGGGGTTGGGGATGTGGGCCCCTCCCTCGGTCGGTAGGGCTGGCAGCCAGTGTTGTGTCGCCAGTCCTGAGGGGAGGTGCAGTCAGTGGTGCACGCGCACGCCTACCCGTCCCAGTCGCACGACAAGCCTCGGACCCTCTGAGTTCAAGTTTTCGGCGCGAGAAGTACGGTACGTACGCCCCAAGTTGGTTGACAGGCAAGTCCAGCTGGTGTTTGGAGTGCAGTGCGCAGTCTGAAAATTGAGTAGTTCAGTGTGGTCGCCTTTTCCGACACGCCCCCGCAGCCATTCCCTCGCTGGCCGCCGGTCTGAGAAAGACACCTGAAAGTTAGGCTACACGCAGAAAAAAAATTCGTGGCTCTGCTAAGTTTTTCGCACTGGGGCTAAAAAGTTAACTGAGTATACTCAGTATATAGACTCGGCTAATTTATTTAGCACCAGGGCTAATTTTTTAGGCATCCAGTTAACCGCACCGTTAATTAACCATGTAGCTAATGACACTTTAGCTATACAGCTAAATATTTTTATATCCAGCTATTTTTTTTTGCACGGGTGTAAAATTGTGCTGTTGAACCGATTTGCACGGAACTGAATTTAATTTTTTTGCGTGTACATGCTGCTCATCGACCTAAAACTTAAAGGTCGTACTTCAGAGGTCGGAGATCCGACCCTAGACGCAAACCCTCTGAAGTTACGACCTTTCAGTTTTCATGGGTCGTCCTGTATGTAACGCAGTCCACGGCAGCACACTGGTCCGGGTCCAACTGGTCCAACGCACCCCACCGCCATCTGCATGTCGTTGTCGTCTCTGAGGAGGGCCCAACCACCAGCCGTGTGCTGAGCTGGGGGAGGGGGGGGG